GTTTTGGAGAATACATTCAAACCCTAGCATTCAACCCTTAGTCCCTCAAAACTCATGTCCTTCTCACATACAAAATACACTCATTCCATCCCCAAAGCCCCAAACACCTTAACTTGTTCTAGCATCAGCTCAAAAGTCCAAAGTCCGGTGTCTCATCTAAATCAAATATGGGTGAGATTCAAAGCATGATGAGTCCCAAGGCTATTTCTTCCACTGGTGAGCCTGTGACATCAAAATAAGTTATCTACTTCCTAAATTCAGTGACGGGATATGATAAACATTCCTGCTCCAAAATGGAGAAGTGGGCAAGAATAAAAGAGTAACAGTCCCTAAGTAAGTCCGAAACCCAGTAGGGCTTATATGAAGTCTTAAAGCTGGAGAATAATCTCCTTTGATTCTATGTCCTGCTTCCTAGGCACACTGGTGCGAAGATGGAAGTCTCGTGTCTGCAGCTGTCCTGGGCTGGCATTGCATGCTAGTAGCTCTACAGTTCTGGGGCCTTGAGTTGGTGCCAACTCCACGGCTCCATTAGGCATTGCCCTAGTGGGTGGTGGCTCCAACCCCATGTTTCCACTTGGCATTGCCTTAGTAGGGGCTCTCTGCAGTGACTCAACCTCTGTGGCAGGTCTCTGCTTGGGCTTCCATGTGGTTCCCGGCATCCTTTGAGATCTAGGTGGAGGAAGCCATGCCTTCACAGCTCTTGCATTTTGTGCACTTGCAGAATTAGCACTAGATAGATGCCACCAAAACATACCACTTGTACCTTCCAGAGCAGCCACACCTGAGCCATAGCTAGAGCTGTATTCCCAGAACACAGAGAATAACAGGGAGCAGAGTCCCAAGGCAGCCCTCGGCAGTGAGCCTGTGGAGGGCTGACTGGGCCTCTCAACTGAAATTATTCTACCCTTCTAGAGCTCTGGGCTTGTGATAGGAGAGGCACTTTGAAGCTCTCTGAGATGCCTTCAGGGTCTTTCTCCCACTGTCTCAATGAATAGCACTTGGCTTCCTTCTATCCATGCTAATCTCTTTAGCAACTAGTCTTTGGCCATACTCTTGCATGCTTTATTGTTCTTTACAGGCTCTTTATTGGCCAGGCTGTGAATTTTCCAAATCTTTTCACTCTGCTTCCTTTTTAATGATAAATTCTGTCTTTAAATTATTCCTTTTCTCTAGCTTACTATAAGTGGTTAAAAGTAACCAGGTATCAGTCTGAATGCTTTACTGCTTTAGATATTTCTTCTGCCTCATCATAGTTCATCACTCTTAAGTTCTACCTTCTATAAAGCCCTTGGACATGGACACAGTTCAGCCAAGTTCTTTGCTATTTTATGACAAGGATGACATTTGATCCAGTTTTCAATACCTTGTTCCTTAGTTCCATCTGAGACCTTGTCAGAATGGCTTTTATTGTAATATTTCTGTCAACAGTTTGGTCATGACCACTTAAATAATCTCTAAGAAGAGAACTTTCCTAGCTTTCTTTTTTTCTGGGCCCTCACCAGAATATCACCCTTAATGCTCCATTGACAGCAATGCAAGGTTTTGATAGCCAACTTCTCCAAATTCTTCCGGCCTCTGCCCATAACCCAGTTTCAAAGCTGCTTCCATATTTTCAGGTTTTGTTTGGCCCCACTTCTTGGTACCAATCTTTTGTCTTAGTCCCTTTTCTGTTGCTGTAACAGAGTACCACAGACTGGATAATTTCTTTAAAAAATAAGTTTAATCTGTTTTCTGTTGCTATAACAGAATACATAAACTGACTAATTTATAAAGAAAAGAAGTTAATTCAACTCATGGTTCTGGAGGCTGGGAAGTCCAAGAGCATGGTACTGGTGTCTGGTGAGGGTTATCCTATGGCAGAAGGGTGGAAGGCAGAAGTGAGTGCATGAGACAAAGAGAGCAAATGGGAGCCAAACATATCCTTTTATTAGGAGCCCACTGCCACATTAACTAGCCCACTCCTTCAAAAACATCATTAATCCATTCATGAGGGTGGAATGCTCATACTGTTAGAATGACAATTAAATTTTAACATGAGCTTTGGTGAGGACATTCATAACACCTGGACAACATCATGGACTCAATTCTGTGGGAGTCAGTATTCCTTTGTAATAATTAAAGTCTGCTTCCCTGGGACTCCTACACTTTGTACTTAATCCTCTGTCCTTGGGACTACATAGAATGAATCTGTTACTTCCCGTGTATTTAAAGAATCTGTCCAGTCACACTGGAGTTTTTGATCCTTTAGCTAACCATTCAAAGTTTTGATTCTCATTCCATCTTGTACATTTTTTGTTTCGAGCAGCCTTTGGTGGTTTTCTTAATTCCTTTGGAGTGTCAAGACTCTCAAATGGGTATATACTGTAGATGGGGCTCCTCTATTTTGATTAGAAGATGATGAGCACCCCTTTGGATCTAGTTCTGTATACCCTTTAATCAGCCCAGGGCTGCTTCGGCTTTTATTTCAAGTAGTCATGTGGTACTGTTGCCTCATACTCACCCTGCCATCAACTAAAACTCCCAGATCCTTTCCTATGTGTTGCTACTAATCCATGTTCCTCATTCTGTACTGGAGGGTTTTTTGGGTGTTTTTTTTAAAGACTAAAGTTCAAAATGTTTCATTTTCTCTGTTAATCTCATTAAATTTATCACATCCATTCAGCATGTCGAATCTTTATGGTATTGAGCATTATCTGGTGTATTAGCATTCCCACCAAAGCTGCATATGGCCTAAAAATTCTGTTATACCATCTGGGCTCATTTACAAGTCATTGATAAAAATGTTAAAAAAATGTAACTTTTTCATTTTTATCTTTTCTTTTCTTCTTTTTTTTTTTAGGCAGGGTCCTGCTCTATCACCCAGGCTGGAGTGCAGTGACGTCATTATAGTTTACTGCAACCTCCAACTCCTGGGCTCCACAGATCTTCCTGCCTCAGCCTCCTAAGTAGCCGGGACTATAGTCACACACCACCACCACACCAGGCTAATTTTTTCTATTTTACATAGAGACAGGGTCTCATTCTTGCTTAGGCTGGTCTCGAACTCCTGGCCTCAAGCAATCTTCTTACTTTGGCCTCCCAAAATGCCAAGATTACAGGGATGAGCCACCACGCCCAGCCCTTGATTTTTCCCTTGATGTACACATTGATCATCAGAGGTAGACAAGTAGGGTAAAATCATCCCTGCTTTTGAGATGAAGAAACTAGTACTCAGAGAGGTTAGGGACCTGCTCAAAGTCACATTACTAGTAGGTGTGGCAAAGAAAGAATTTGAAGCTGTATTTTCTGCTCTTCTACTATACTGAGATATTCATCCAGCCCTGGACACTTTGCTAATGAGGGATCAGGGAAATGCAAACAAAATGCAAGCCATGTGAAAATGATTAAAATGTTAAGCTCTGACAGTGACTCTAGGAAAGGTAGTGTGGGACATTCCTTCTTTGATTTCCATTTTCTACCATGCTACATTTTTCTCTCCTTACTTGGAAGTACCTATATTTGCCAACCTCGGTCTCGGAAAGCTGTTTCCTGAGATGTCTCCTTGAACCACACTCCCACCCAAACATACATCTTCTACAAGAAGACACCAGAAAGCAAAAATGGGAAGAACCTCCATGTCTGTCAAAGTCAAGATGAATCAGGAATGGGGCTGAGCAGGTAGAGTGACCAACTGATCTACTTCACCTGGCATGGTCCTGGTTTTAGCCCTGAAAGTTCCAGAAAAACCCACAGTCCAGGGTGAACTGGAGGGTTTGTTGGACACACGGTCAGTGGGATAGTGCAACACGCTGCTCTCTAGTCTCCTCTTTAGTACTGTGGTGGTTTAAGATGGCCACAAATTCTTTGATACTTCTTGCATTAAGAAGTGTGTTCTATATCTGGGCAGCTCTGTGACTGTTACTGTACAGAATACAGAGGAGGTGATGCTGTGGCAGTATCTTGGCTCAGCCTTAAGGCACTGGCAGATTTTACTTCCCATCTCTTTGAACACTTTCTCTTGGAGCCCAGAGCCACCAAGTAAGAAGTCCAATTACTCTGAGACTACCACGCTGAGCAATCACATGTGGGCATTGCTGTTAACAGTTCCAGCTGGACACAGCCTTCCATCCATCACCACGGCACCAGACATAGGAATGAAGCTGTTCCGGACACTCCAGACCAGCGCCAAATGAATACCACTGCTGAGGTCACCAAGTGACCTCGGTTGAGGTCATGTGAAATAAGAGAATTTCCCAGCTGAGTCTTAGGCAAATTTCTGGCCACAAAATCATAAGATATAATCCAATGGTTGGTTTTGCAAGCCTCCAGATTTGGGGATGGTTTGTTATACAGCAAGAGATACCTAGGGCAAATGCTAAAACTAGCTCAAATAAATTGTACCTAACTTTAGAATAATTATAAACAATAGTAAACACCATCATAAACAATAGCCTATCTTCAAACAAATGTTCTGCAGAGGATCCAGCCATCTCTAAATAACTTTATCGAGCCTCTAAATGGGCAAATAGTGCAAGGTGAGCTGAGATGTTGGTTTTGACTACCCATGTCCATTCTTCCTGTATCACTGTAGCACGCCATCTTGGCACACTTCCTTCCCTGTGAAGTGGCTCCTATCTGTGCCCTGTGCTTCAAGGACTTTTTCTTGATGAGATTCTCATCTTTCATTTTGGTCTTTGGCAGATTTTTGGCAATAACAGGCAGCGACCCTTTAGGCTACAGTCTTGACCAAGTGAGATCCCACACATCCCCACATTTATCTAGAGCAGCAAACACTTGACTGCTTCTTTCCAATTTGGCTCCATGTCACTAAATCTGATTGATGGAACTGCAGATTCTTGGAGGAGAAGGGCTGTGTTTTAAATGTCCTTGGGCCCTAGTAGCTTCCCTTTGGATGAATGAATACCTTCTCACCACTGTGCCACTACCAGGTAACTTTGCTTCTGCTACTTCCCTTGCCTAGTATTTTCACTTAAGGCTTTTTAGTGTCTCCTTGTTTCTAGGAAAGAGAGTATTGGGGCTCAGAAAATGATACCTCAAAGTATGTGCTTTGGCATGCTGAGTACTTCGAACTAAAGAAGATTAGAAGGCCTCGGAAGCAAAGTCTCTCTCTGACCTTCTCCTACCCTCCTGTATCCCATTCTTCTTTCTCCCCAAAAGTAAGTTATAGAAATGAGAATTCCTTTTCCCAAGGTGGGTCAGGGAAACTAGAACCCATCTCCTCAAAGCAAGCCATAAAACCTAGAAAGCTCACTCTCTCCCTTCTCCCTTCAAGACCCTCATTTCAGGAGGTCCTGCTCCCTTCCCAGGGGGAAGGAATGCTACACAGAGAGGCCACAAAGAATCTAAACAGACAGGACTTGCTTGGGACACCTCCACCCCATAATTTATTATCTCATGAGATCATATCCTTTTTGTCCAATTACATTTCTATATGGTTTATCCATTCTTCATCAAACCTGAGCATAAAAACAGACTATTTTCTTTGAGTCTTTGTTCATTTCTGAAGTCTCCTGTGTCAAGTACAATTTTGGTTAAATAAATTTGTTACGCTTTTCTTTTGTTAGCCCACTTTTTTTTTTTTTTTTGAGACAGAGTCTCGCTTTTGTTGCCCAGGCTAGAGTGAGTGCCGTGGCGTCAGCCTAGCTTACAGCAACCTCAAACTCCTGGGCTCAAGCAATCCTCCTGCCTCAGCCTCCTGAGTAGCTGGGACTACAGGCACGTGCCACCATGCCCGGCTAATTTTATATATATATATATTAGTTGGCCAATTAATTTCTTTCTATTTTTTTTATAGTAGAGACAGGGTCTCGCTCAGGCTGGTTTTGAACTCCTAACCTTGAGCAATCCGCCTGCCTCGGCCTCCCAGAGTGCTAGGATTACAAGCGTGAGCCACCACGCCCGGCCTGTTAGCCCACTTTTTACAGCGGTTTTGCCCATGACCCTTAAGGTGGGTCTTATCATGGCCCATATAACAGGTCTTAAGAAAGAGCAGAGGCTACTGTTGTTAGCAGGGGATTTTAAAGTAGGAAGTGGGTGGAAAGGATTTTGTATCATTTTGAGACTTCTCAGCCCTCAGTTCTCACTAAAAAATTTGCTCCTGATTCTCTTCCTACTTAAAACTTTTGAATGTTCTTAGTCTGTGGGAAAGAGGAAGGTGACACAATGTTCATTTTGATTCATCTCTGTGGCAGGAGGAAATGTCGAAGAGCAGGCTCACAGATCCAATGGGTGTCAGCCATACGGGAACATTTTCCCTAGAGAATCTTGAAATGTTGGAGCTATAAGGGACTGTTGAGGAAAAGGTGTATAAGAACATGGTCTTGTAGGTGGCGATGGTTGCTGCTGGCACTACACCATCTTATAAAAATATGGGCTTCTAGGTCAGATAAGGGGACCACATGCATTTGTCTCCCCACTCTCTCCCTAAATTCTATTGAAATTATGATACAGAAGTTCCAGCGGAAATAAACACCCAAGAGTGTGGAGAGTGGGAGTGGATTTATCATCGCATGAGAGTTATTAATGGATTTCTGGATGGCTGACAGCAAACGGGAGCACATCGACAGACAGATGGAGGAACCCCCCCTCCCACTGCCAGAATGAAGACTGCCATTCAGCCCGGAGCCCATCACCCCCAAGGGCCCCCAGGAGTACTGGAAGCTTGGAGTCCCCAGGTAGAGAGCTGTCGTGGGAGGTGGGATGGTAAACTGTTGGAGGAATTGTGAGTTGGAAGACTGCCTGTGGCAAAGCTGTGCCAACTTCCCTTCCACCCCCTACCCTGCCACTCACATGCATAGCCACTCCCCTGGCCCACTCACATTGCTGTAGGAGAATCAGCTGCTGTAGGTTCATCTTCAGACCAAACGTGGGAGTGACATCAGCTAAAGCTAGCACAGAAGCTTCCAAAGTAGGAGGCTGGAGTCTCATGACAAAGCCCTTGTAATTCCCAAAGAGGGTTTTCAGTAGTGGTCAGCTCCCCAAACTCATATCCTAAAGCGAAGATGCCATCAGCACACCTAGCCAGTACCTGGAGACAATAATGTACATGCAGTCACATTTAGGGAGGGTCCTCATAGGAAAGAGACCCACAGGACCAAAGTGGAAATCACCAGACATCTGATTAGTCTGCATGATCCTTTATTTTTTAAGATGAAGGGACAACCAAGAAAGCTCTGCCATTTGCAAGAAACCATTTGGAAAAGAAAGAGGAAAAGATAGAAAAATTAATTATGCAGAAGAAGTGAAGATTTTTAAATAACCCCTATTTCAACCAATGACAACACTTGTAAAAATAAAAAGCAATCAGGAAGTGAGAGAGTTCATGGGTATCAAAAATGCTTGTGACTGGGTGTGGTGGCTCACTCCTGTAACCCTAGCACTCTGGGAGGCCAAGGCCAGAGGATTGCTTGAGCTCAAGAGTTTGAGACAAGCCTGAGTAAGAGCAAGACCCCTGTCTCTACCAAAAATAGAAAAATTATCCAGGCATTGTGGTGTGTGCCTGTAGTCCCAGCTACTCAGGAGGCTGAGGCAGGAGGATGGCTTGAGCCCCAGGAGTTGGAGGTTGCAGTGAGCTATGATGACACCACTGCACTCCACCTGGGGTGACAGAACAAGACTCTGTCCAGAAAAAAAAATGCTTGTGATACATTAAAATAAATAATGATAGTAATGGAGTACAGCTCATTGAATAAAATAGGAATCCATGAGTCGGTGCAGACTTTAAATAAATAAATAGATAAGTAGATAGATAGATATAGAGACAGACAGATAAGGAAAAGCATTCCCTAATAGTAGATTGATAACTAGTAACTACAGAAGAAATGATGGAATTAGAAAATCACTATGTTGCAAACATCATAATGTTAATTGAGGCAAGAGTCATTTACGGAGGCTAAAACTTGTGTTCAAGAGTTTGACAAGGAAAAGTATACTTACACAGTCTCAAAGTAGCACCCCACAAATTGCTTATAAATTACAAAGGGAAAATAGTGATTTGACAACAGGGAAAGTGGGTAGTTACCACTTGAACCAGGTGATCAAGGTCACCATCACCAATAGTTGAGTCAACATCATGCGGCTCCTCTGTGCCACACCAGGACAGACAGACCAAGACCATCACTCTGTGTCATTCCTGCTACAAATGCAAAATCTGCATCTAACCACGAGGAAACATCAGACAAACCACATTGAAGAACACTACTCAAAATGAATGACTTGTGCTTCTTAAAGATTTCAATGTCATGAAAGATGAAAAGCTGAGAAACTATACTAGATTAAAGAAGACTAAAGAGATATGAAAGCTAAAAGCAAAGCATGGTCCTGGATTGAACCTAGACCAAAAAAAAAGAATCTGTAAGGGATATTATGGGAATAATTGGCAAGATGTGAATAAATCTTCAGATTAAGCAAGTGCATCAACTTAAAATTTTCTGTTGTGGAAATTTCACACTGAAGCATTTTAGGGGGAAAGGGATTCATTATTTGCAATTTACTCTCAAATATTCAGAATGAGAGAAAAATAAAGCAAATGTAATGGATGTGATGGAAGTCAACAATTAAAGAATCTAGGTAAAGGGTATAAAGTAATTTTTTATACTATTCTGGCCACTGCCACTTTTCTGTAGGTTTAATATGTTTTCAAAATAAAATTTTTTGTAATGAAGTCAAAAGATAAGGGAAAACTGAGAAGAAATATTTGCAACATATATTACAGATAAAGATAATTGCTATTCATTGATTATATATATATACTTATGTAGGCATAGAGAGCTCTTTAACATAGAGGGAAAATAAAGTAAATATCCAATAGAAAAATAGGCAGATGACATGTGCAGATAGTTCACAGAACAAGATTTACCAGTGGCCATTATATTTTGAAAAAAAACACTCAACTTTACTCATCTGAAAAGAAATGTAACCTAACATACTGAAATGACATGTCACCTATCATATTAGTGAAAATTTAGAATTTTACCAACACAGCCTGCTGATAAGATTGTGGGGATATCAGGCACTGGCATATATCGCTGTTGGGACAGCAAAGTGGTAGAGTCCCTAGGGAGGGGATTTTGGCAATATCTAATAAGACCGTTCTCCCTATGCATTTAGCCTTTGATCCAATAATTCTTCCTTGGGAATTATCCTGAGAATGTATCTCTAAATATATGAAATGTCACTTTATACAATTATTCATTATAGCACTAATTATAATAATAAAAATACTGGAAACAACCTAAAATATCCGTTCTATTATTTTTCTAATGCTGCCATAACAAAATGCCACAGACTGGGTGGCTTAAACAATAGACATTTATTTTCTCACAGTTCTGGAGGCTGGAAAGTCCACGATCGAGGTGTCAGCAGGATTGGTTTCTCCTGACCTCTCTCCTTGGCTTGACCAGGCTTCCTTCGTGCTGTGTCCTCACATGACCTTTCCTCTAGTGTCTCTTCCTCTTCTTATAAGTAAAGACACCCGGCATACTGGTGTTTAAAAAGGCCCCACCCTTATGACCTCACTAACCTAAATTGCCCCTGTAAAGGCCTATCTCCAAATATAGTCACAGTCTTAGGTACTGGGGGTTAGGCTTCAACTATGCAGCTGTAAAAAAAAAAAAAAGAAAGAAAGAAAGAAAATGTGAGAAAACTCTCTCCAAACTGATATGGAGCAATTTCCAAGATATATTCTTAAAGGATTAAAAAAAAAGATGCAAAATAGTCTTTATGTTATCTAGGAACAAAGTATACCTTTTCTGTACTGGACATAAGCTTATATATACTTTATATCTATACAGGAGTACTGGGAATAATATATAATGCAGTATAATCTCTGAGTATTCCCTGAAAATTGACTGTTTCTAGCAATCAGATTGGGTTACTGACCACTTATAGCAGCAGTCTTTCAACATGTAGCTCTTCCTAATTAATGAATGAACTAATTACCATACTTTCTGCAGCTTAAGTGAACGTTGAACTGTGGGTCTTCTCAAAACTTAATTCTACTTAATTAAGATTTTATTGAGTTAATGATGCTTCTAATTAGTTGTCACAGCCACAGAATCGCATATACTAATATTTTTAAAAGGACTTGAGGATTTAACTTGACGTAATATTTTTAGGATTCAGGAGTGTCTCAGTTTGCAGGTAACAGAAAACTCCACTAGAAGTCGCTTACACAAACAGAAGTTTATTTTTCTCTGTAACAGGTGTTTCACATATGAGCAGCCCAGGCTAACGCTTAGACAGGCTCTTTCTGTCTTTTTCCCCCTTGCAATTCTTAGCATGGGGGCTAGTTGTCTCATGACCGCAAGATGCCAGCTCTGCACTTCCAGGTATTACATCTGCATTATTTTTTTATTAATCGATTTCTATGTACCAGTTTATTTACACTTTATTTTTCACGGTTTTTTTAAAAATTTCAGAATATTATGGGGGTACAAATACTTTGGTCACATAAATTGTCTTTGCACCCCAGAGTGAAGACTGCAAGAGTGCCCATCCCCCAGACAGCATGCACTGCACCCATTAGGTCTATCACATCTACATTAACTCACAACAAAC